TTAACGGCCGTTGGCGGCGGGGGCTGAGGCAGCCGGGGCTGAGGCGGCGGCCGGCGCTGACAGCCCCCTTTCCCTCCCTCCTTCCCTCCCCGTGCCGCTCGGTGCAGGAGAGCGGCGAGGGCCCGGGCAGCAGCCGGCCGCGGACATGCACTGTGAGCTCGCAGGCGGTCAGAAAGGCAACGCCGGTCCGGCCCGCTTCGAGGTGCCCGATAAATGCCAGGGAGCGCCGCTGAAGGAAGCGCCGCGGGTGACTCGTCCCAGCGCTGGTAGAGCCCTCCCGAATCCTCAGATGTCCTTTAAAATCGCTGTCAGCAGCGGCGGTGAGCAGACGGAGCCTCAGCAGAGCCCCCCTGAAATGTCAGCGCCTCTCCTGGATTTCGTCCCCAAAAGACCCAGCATATTCGAGAGGATCCCGGTCCTGCCCAGGGCGCAGGAGCTGCGATGCGCTAGAGGCTCCAAAGATTATTTCCAGCAGCAGAAACACCAAAGCGTGAAGGGTGAGTTTAAAAATGCATGAACTGAACACTACCACCACAAAACAAAAAAATAATATATCCACCACCCAAACAAAAATGTGTATGCAGCTTCTTTTTTTTTTCCTTGGTGTTTTTTCCCCCCTTTTTGATCTTCAGTGTATTTTCTAACTTGTTTATTAAACTGCAAGCTTTAAAACTTTTTTTTTTTCTATGCACCTTGGAGGTGCAGGGTAAACCAGATTGTTGGTTGTTTTTTTGGTTTTTTTTGGTTTTTTTGCTGATGGGGAGCAGAGTGTTTCTCAATATTCTTTAAGAAATCCTGAGACCGGCATCTTCTTTCGTTCTCCTGAGCAGCTGCTGCTCGGTTTGGTCGCTTCTCAGAGGTGGTTGTTTTGAGGATGGTGCTGAACACTGGGTTAGTCTGTCCCGCGCCTGAGCGTGCGTGTGGGGTATTTGTGAGTATGCCTGACTGACAATAAATGCCCGGTTCTTACTCAGCAGTTCCACCACGGTTGCTTGGATTTATAGTTTGTATTTCAAGGAGGTGTTACAAATGCTGGATTCAGGCAGTTGAATCCTCAGGCACGGGATTCCTGGTGCCTGAAAGGCATGGCGTAAGGTTAAATTCGGCTAGTGAACAAATGCCCAGTTTTCATCCATCCATTGTTAAAGAAGTGGCACTGAAGTCAGGTTAGGAATCGCCCACTAAAATCTATTAGTTACCCTTTTGAGCCAGAACTTGTTAATTGAGCTGGAATTTGTTAATCAAAATTCCATTTTAAAAGAATCCCTCTAAGATATCACTGGATGGATTCAGAGGAAAGTCAGGCATTCCTTTACACTCCAAAACCACAGAGACATATCTACCTAAGGTTATTAATATTAATGTTTTCTGTAAAGTTAAAAAGGTAACGCGCTCTTTCTCTTCTCAGTCCTTTTCTGTTCTCTATTTTAGAGATGTACATGCTGCTATCTTGTTGGTGTAAGGCAATTCCCATTAGGATTTTTTCAGTGCATCACTTTCTGTCCATTCTTCTGAAAAATAAAAGTAAACTGCGTGCCCTTGGACTAGTAACATTTTTTTTTGTGAGCTTGTTACCTAGGGTGATGGCACCTTTCATTGCCATGAAGTTATGTTAATGAACACCTCAATCTGTGCGAGGTCTGTCCTGCAAACTGTAGGATGTGTTTATTCATCGCTAGTGAATACAGACAGAGTGGAGCAGCAGGTTATAAATTACCTTTTTTATTTTTCTGTTTGTTAATGCTGCAATTCTCCTCTCCTGATTTAAAAAAAAAAAAAAGTGGTGGTTAATGTTTGGCAAGAATGAAATGAAGGTCTGTTACACAGAACCAGGTTTGGAGGGGGGAGAAGGAGGATTCACGAAGTATGGAGGGACAGCTACGAGCTCTACTACTGCTGTGCTGCTGCGACTGCTGCCTATAGAAGGGACTCGTGAGGTGTTCAAGTCCCTTGTGGTCTCATGAGTGAGGCTGGTGCCACTCGACTGGGGTTCATACTTGCTTAAAACCCTACTCATGTGTTGCCCTACCCCGACAGACTCTTGAAGCACTTTCCTTTTTTTTTTTTTTTTTTTCTTTTTACTTTCAGACTCTTACTCCTTTTTTCCTCTTGCAAATCGTAATCTAACACAGCAATTGTGGGGGGAGATCAGAATTAGTAAATACTTTGTTTAAAAATAATTGCTGATTTGAGAAATACCTCTGAGAAAT